TCTTTCTGAGAGTGCGTGTGTGCAACATGGAGAGGGTTCCGTTAGCGCACATCCTGATTTAGTACACCATTCATATTGGCTCGTGCCTAGTAATTTTTTACTGTTTACCAATGAGAATATCTTTATTTTAAATTGGCCAATTAGCAATGTGCATTATCGGAACTTAGTTTGCAATGTGCTGTGGGTAATATGGTCGTAAGTGCAATGTATTGTGTACAATATTGTAGTGTGCGTAATATGCTGTAATATTATTGTATGCAAACGAAGCTGTAAATAATCGTTTTGTAGGCAAACGGAGCCTTTTCCACACACAGGTAAGAATCTGCGCAGTGCGCAAAGATCTGTTTAGATTCAAAGAACCTAACATCCAAAGAAAACAGGATCGTTTTCATACATAAAGAAGATCTATTTTATAAACCAAGAATAGTAAATTAATAAGAAATTAACTGCAAGTATATAAAATTGTGTATTAATAATTCTCAAAATTTCAAACACACTTTTCTCGAAATCGTATTTTTCAAGTCCATTGAAATTATAATTAAAAAATTAATAATCAGATCAGCTTTATTTCATGAATAATTCGAAGTAACAAATGTGTTACATCTTTTTTTGTGTAAACCTATAAAACCAATAAAATATAAATAATCTTTTTTTTAATTGATAAAAAATAATGAAATATCTAATCTTTTTTTCAAACAAGTTTTACTTTAAAAAAATTTTGTAATTTACAGCAAGGTTCATACAAAAGATACACTAATAACATAAAATATATCTTATAATAATTATATAATAATTATTAATAACATGTGATACCTAATATTTGCTTGTTTTTAGTAATAACTTTTATTTATTTGTTATTGTTCTTTGTTTTTGCACACATATAAACTGTAACGAAATTGATCTTACACGGAGAAAAATAATTGAGATTTTTACTTTAGAAGACTAATAAAAATATTCTGGCTATTTTTACCGAATTTGTGATAAATTTTATTTGCCTGAAAGTAAAAATACCAGAGATTTAAGATAAAAAGTACATTATGATTACAGTACATCATTTCAAATGACTATTATCTTATAGTAAAATAAATCATACTTTCAGTAAAGTAAATCGCACTATTTTCAAAATTGACGAGCACAAACAACTCTCAGAACTTTTATATATATATATATTTTTTTTACTACACAGTAAAATAAATTTTATCAATGCTAAAGAAAAAAATATTCGTCGATAAAGTAAATTCTACTATTGAGATGTTTGATAAATTATAAATTTACTTTACGACGACAATCTCATATATCAGAGATGTAAAAAAAATTTTACATAAGTAGGCATGTATTCCTACATAAACTTGATAATTCCATAAAGTTTACTAGAATTCTAGCGTATATTACTATACATTTTTCTCCTATATATACTAAATACTATACTATATTAATATATTTAATTTTTTTATTTTAGATCGTTTTAATAAGCCTTATATACAACGCCTATGTTCCAAAATTTATTGCAGTACTGAAAATCTGTAGTGCACGTAAACTATAGATTTTTAACACAAGCAGTGATTTGAAGCAGTACCAATGTCAATGATAAAACGTTTCGTGAGACTATAAGTCGGGTAAATGTTAAATAAAATTTTTTGAAAAAATTTATAACTGTTAAATATATATAAAATATGTCCCTAAAATTTGTCGGAGTATAGTAAAAAAAAAATTTGGTACTTATTCGGATTAACGGATACCGCATCGATGACTTTGACGTATGTCGTCAAGGTTATGATCCTGAGTGGCCTTTAAAAGGATTTAGGTGATCACTGTTCGTTCAAAAGTTATTAACAAATAAAGTTTAAAAAATGTCTTATTTCTACCATATACAATATTAAAAACTATCCTATATTCTTCTTACGTAGGCGCACGACTTTTCACACAAAATGAGGTCCACTCCATCTGCTCCCCAGCTAAGGAGCAATTTCTTCTATATAGACAGGGGAGAGATGGAGTGAACCTCGTTTTGCGTGAAAAGCCTGTCAAAATACAGCAGAAATAAGATATTATTTTTTAAACTTTATTTGTTAATAACTTTTGAACAAACAATGACCGCCACCTAAAATCTTTTGAAGATCATTCATGTTATGGTCGACAACATATGTTAAGGTCGAGGTTAAGGTCATCGACGCGGTGTTCGTTAATCCGAATAATTATCTTTTCTGTAGACAGATT